TCTATTAAAAGGTACATTGGGCAAGTGGTGAGGTTGATCATTATGTTGAATGTATTTGGCCAATTTGTAGAACATCAATGTTTTCATATCTTTCTAGGCATTTTTAAGATTATTAACTCTTTTTTATTTTGGCATTTTGTGTGTATAATATAATGTTAATATTGATAAAATAATGTTTAATGATTAGTATGGTGTGTAAATGACAATTGTAAATGACAATTAAGTATACTTGATTAAAAAAAATACATTTGATAATGAAATATAATTATGGTTAAACCAATATTTTTTTCCTTAAGCCTTTAATATAATATATATGTTAGTATATTATATTTTGTAATTCTTTTGGATAGAAAAAATAAATATTAGGTGCTTTGATTATATATTTTATATTAATAATTTATAAAAGAAAATGTCACGTCCATGAAACATTATTTTCCATGCCTCATGTTGGTGTCCATGTTTCACAGACAACATTCAAAGAAAAAAGTACCAAATGAAATTTCCAAGTCCAGAAATCTGGACAGCAACGGTGTAGGCTTCCGATCTTCAATGGGATGGTTCTAGATCAAGAAGAACCAAGTTATTGACATAGGGAGGATAGTTGGAGGGACACTAATGTGAAAGAGCAAATAGGAAGTAAAAAGAGAGGGAGGGGGGCGGCTAAAGAGAAAGAGAAGGGATTAATTTCCCAAAATCCGAAGTTTTAAATTCAAATTAGATTGGGAGGGATTATGGGGTTTTGAATTTTGAATTTCAAATAGGGAGGGAAATGAAAATTATTCCTAAATGAGAGATTTCATTGGGGTATTTAAAAAGAGGGGAGTTAATGTGGGGAGAGAGAGAGAGAGATAGAGGGAGAGGGGCGGACGGCTTTGTGAGGTGGCATAGGGTTATGGAGGGGTGAGTTTAAAGCTTGCCTAATCAAGGACCTTTAATTGAGGAAGAGGATTGAAATTGATTTGGACTTGATTTAAGGAACTTTCCTAAAATATATTGTCTATTTTAGGAAGTATTTCAAAATTCAAAATTGATTGAATAATTGAAATCAAAGCTTTCCAAATGAGGTTGTGTAGAGAAAGGAAAGTGATGATGGGAGGTTTGAATTTTGGAGGCAAGGAGATTGGGATTGGGTGGCCGGCGGCTAGGTTAGGTTAGGGTTAGGTGGCGGTGGGATTTAGTTAATGATTTAGAGAAGGGACTTTAGGTAGTCGACAACTAGGAGGAGGTGGGGGAGGGATGTGTTGGCCGGCGGCTAGGAAGTGGTTGAATGAATGGGTCGGCAGCTATGGAAGGGGCAAGGCCCTTTGTGGCCGGCGGTTGGAGGGGGGTTTGGTGGGGAGGCCGGCGGCATAAGGGAGAAAAAGGGGAGGAAAGAAGGAGAAAATAACCACGAGCCCGAACGCTTCCTGCGGCTCTGATTCCCTCACCTAGTGATTTCTCTCCAAGAACTCTCAAGCTCTCACAAAAACTCAATTGCTGAAATTTTTCATAATAATCATTCATTAGCCTCCAAGGAGGAGGTGGCCTTTAAAGAGCCTCATTACAATGAAAGAGAAATAAAAGACCAACTTGCCCCTCGGACTTACACATGACTAGGTCCTCAAATGAGGGTATAAATGAAAAATGCAATAATAACTCATAACACAAAATAAACTAATACAAATACTTCTAATACAATGCCGATCAAAAGTAAAGCGGAGCAATCGTGGCCGTAGATCGACGGTCACGCCTCTGGTAGACCCTCCAAGGTCGGATGTACTCCTCACAATCAATATACAAAAAACTATATAATTTCTTATATGATCATATTTATTTATTTTTTTATAATTAAAACTTAAAAACATTTCCCTATAAATCCCCAAATATATTCTCTATATCCCTGAAATCCCACCACACCTCAATCTCATTGTCGTGTGTAATTGTCCCATCTCATCAAACCCTCAAATGTGCTCGCCTTGGCCATGTACACTCTTTCTTTCTTGCTCAGTGCTCTACGAATCCTTCCGCACACACGCATACAACAAGAACAACTCCTTCCTCTTTTTTTCTTGCTTTCACTCATCTTATTTCTCTAGAAAAAATTGCAGCAATCAATGGTGACACCCTTTCTCAAGCACCGCACAAAACCACAACCTGTACAAATCCCACAAGTGACAAAATCCTCCCACCACTCACCCTCCAATCTCAACTTCTAGTGAAACAATACATACCATCCACTGTCACTGCCACTTCTGTTAATGAAACCACTGGAAACCAACCACCGTACTGGCGCAATTTTAACTAGCAAGTTCACCACAACACTAGACTAGAAGATGGGTTTGCTAAGGCAAGCAAGCTTGGATGCCGTTGACATAATTTTGAATAGATAAAGTGAAAGCAAAGTAAATATCCAATGAGAAAGTTCCTAAATTTACATCTAAGTTTGAGGAGAATGCAAAGTTATGAGCTTCACAGCCATGGAGAGGGATCTACAGAATCCATCAAATGAATATCAGATTACTACGTAGAGCAACATTTTTCTGCTATTTATAGTATGCCTAGGTGGTATGGGAAAGATAACTCTCCAACGACATCTCCATCAAGATGAAATGACAAAGGACTTAGATCTTAAAATATGGGTTTGTGTTTCCAGCAACTCTAATGAGAAAAGAGTTATTGCAGATTTGTTGGAATCTCTTAAAATGAAGGGGGTGTTGATTTGGGGTTACTTGAGGCACTCCAAGGATTTCACAAGTCTGAGATTATATCAAAAAATAAGGTTCTTATGCTGCCAGAGGCTGCCAAAAAATTCAGTTACAAAACTCTAAAAGAACAAAATAAAGAATTTAGAGACTATATGTGGTAGAAATAATAAAAGGAATGAAATGAATAAGTACAAATTATCAAATTAGAATAAAATGAAAATTCAAGATATGAAACATGTTGTAAAGTTGGCAAAATTGAAATTGCAGGGGACTTGCAATGGAGTTAATAACTCGGCTACGAGCAAGATTGAGTAAGAATAAGACTTGATAGCTTGCCAAACAAGCACAAGCAAGACTTCTCACTATCTATTCAGAACACTTAAATATTGAACTACAACTACCTATGAGACAAGATGAGAGTCCCTCTGGGGTCTACTTGAACAAAATGTAAGCTAAATACAAGTGAATTAAAATGCTTTAAGCGCACAACTAAATTATAAATCGTTACTAAATCTGCAATACACACACGCAAGCAAATGGAATGCAATCTTTAAAATTCAGAATGAAATATTGCACACATATTAACGACAACATTCACGCATATAATTAAAATTCATATAATTTTCTAATTATTTTCATGCATCAAAAGACACCTTCCAAACTTAAATACAATGCCTTTGGAAGCAAGCATGAGCATTGGAAGTCATATAAGCACATTGAAAAGTATGCACATAATTGAAAAACAGCCCAATTTGTCAAAGCAAACCTCGTTCACATGTGCTTCAACAAGCTTGCTAAACATTTGAACTTAAAGTTAGCGAATATTGCATGGATGAGAAATAAAATGAAATGAAATTTCTCCCACCATAAAAAAGCATACATGTGCACAGAAAACATGCAAATACATCATAGAATGCAAATGCACCAAAAGGCATACACGTTATCCAAAAGACGCATCAAATTGCTGAAGTCAAATGTCCTCATATGTTCTAGCAAATATCTTAAATGCATAAACTTGAAGTCTGAGAATATTGTACAAATCGAAAATAACTAAATTTAAATCTACCAATTTTGAGAAATGTGCAACCACACTAAAAAAGATAGTGTAATTCTATTAAAAATTGTCAACCCTCTCTTTCAAAATTAAATTCATCAACATATACGCATGTTTTAGAGCAACTCACCTTGCATATAAGGCAAGGTCGTACGTCCCACATTTCAAGTTTGATCCTCCACATGTTAAAAATTGGAGTTGAAAAAATATGAACCTTGATGATGGTTATATTGATGGTGAATATGAACCGTAGAGAACCCTAAAATAAAAAATGCCTCCAAATCCCAAAATAAATTATTTGGGGCATAAATTTTGATAAAGCTTAAGAAATCTAAATTATAAATTAAAAAAACAAGTAAAATCTATCACCCAAATTTAAGGAAATAACCTATCCACAAAAATCCAATGACTTATCAAGCATATCACTATGCAAACTCATAAAAAATCTCATACCAATGAGGACAACATATCATCTAATTGGGTGATTTTGCTCACAAATGACACTACTAAATAATAGTAATATTTAGAGCTCTTCTCACTAAGTAGACGAGTTTATGGCAACCTAGGCAACGAAATCATAGGATTTTGATTAAGTTCATCATCATTTTCCTATCATCTACTTTAAACTAATGGTGATAAATATTTCTATCCTAAAATCAAATACCTGCTATTATAGGCTAAGCATTAAAATCCATTGACTAGATTTAATTGAAAGTTTTATCTTATCACCGAGAGGGATAGTTAACCATAGGAGTGCCAAGAAATTAGAACCAGATCATAAACCCTTACAAAATGAGGGTGATAAGCAGTGTCATATCTACATGCAATCTAATCTATCTTTGAAGATTTAATCTAAAACACAAACTCTCTCAGAAGAGTCGAGCATAAATTTTTGGAGCCCACATCCTTGAAGCTTGAATTCAAGTCTTCTAACCTTGAAATGTAATTTCAACTAGTTCATGGAACCTATGCAAACAAACCCATTGGTCAGGTTATTGTAAAATAGCTTGACCTAGCCAGCTGAGCCTAATGTAGTTGATTCTGTTGAAATTAACCAAACTAGATGCCTTCCTTGATTGGCCTTTAGATTGAAAATCCCGCTGAATCAAATGTTCCCCGAATTCACTAGTCTCGCATGAACTTTGCTGCCATCAACTTCAATAAGTTTCCAGAAATGCATTCATAGCTCACATGTACAAAACCACCATTGTCTATGTTAAGCTGACATGAATTAGATTTCAAATTAAAAAAGAAAGCCATACCTCTTTGGTGATTGAAAATTTGAAGGTGTTGTTTGCTATTATTCTGCACACCTCTGCGATTCGATGTTGTAGGCATGACAGTATTTGAGTTAGACACTTGGTTAACCTGACTTTTTTTTATATTTGAAGCCGAGTCTTGAGTGTTAACCTGACTCTTTTTTATATTTGAAGCTGAGTCTTGAAGTGACTCTGTTGTGGATAAAATGACCGTCCCACCCAAGATTACAGACTGAGAATGATTTGAAACTTCTGAGGTTGTAGGCTGGACATCAGAAGACTGCTTTTTAACACCCACAGCTCCAACTTCACGTCGAATGGCACCAACAGAACCAGCTGATCTGGAAGCTACAGATGGAACATGAACCGGATCTGAGGACGAAGAGTACACACCAATAACAGAATTCACTGAAACTGAAGAAGAATTTAAGGCGGAACTATTCACAACAGCTCTTTCAGGCTCTAAATTTGTAGATTGAGGGATGATCATAATCTCTTGCAGTGGCAAATCCCTAGATCTGCTAGCTCGGGACAAATTTTTCTCATGATCCAAACCATGAGAACATGATGCATTCATGTTTTGAGATATCCCCTGGCCGTCCAAAATGCATGAATTAAGCAACTTCTGATCATTTACAATTCTTGTCGATCTGCAATGGAAAAATATGTAATTAGATGAAACCATCTTCAGTTGTAAGATAAAAAAAAATAAAAAAATCTTCAGTTGTAAGATAATGAGAAAAGTGCAATACAAGAAGCCATATGGATGAAGCTGATCCAGTGAAGAACTAGCACTAACCATATTATAATAAATATAACTAAAAAGCCCTCCTAAAATACTTGCAAATATAGCAAAAAACCAATTAACATAACTACTGCCTAATTTGACGAGTTAATGATTGTCAAAAACCTATTTTATTTTCAGCAAGTCAAAACCGTAGACATGAAATGCATGGGTGATCCCTCATACCTGATGTTATCTTTAGGCATTTATCAATGTGGAGTTCATCTATTTGAATATCATCAAGGCTCTACAGCTAGTCAATCCTTTTAAGTGAAGGGCACAATATAGATATCTAGCAAAAATAATTGGCTGCAATTACATATTAATTTGTGATTGTTAAATATTGAATCGTGATTGTCCTACTAATTCAGTAGATTAACCCAGGTTAGGTTGTTGGACTCCAGACCGCCAACAAGCTTTGACCCTACCAGGGGCTCAATTACCTTTCAGCATTTAGTGCTAGGGAACTCGGTTGAGAACAAGAAAAATTCCTCATTAGGGGGCAAGTTCTCGAAGATTCCTTATTAAATGATATTTAAAGGGTTCTCATGATTCATTTGGGACGAATTCTTAGGCTACGGAACTGTTGCTATTAACTCAATATTGTTTTGATCTTGGAAGATATTTGAACTATTGCCGATCGATAGGCTTTTAGCTCATATAAGTGTCTACACATTGTATTAAAAACCAAGCCTCATCTTACCCGAAGGAGATTTTGTAGGAAAAGGACCTGATGGAGGACCACAGCGCCTTACTGTTGCAGCATCATTTCCTATTCTACAATATTCCACTGGGGTTGAGGGCCGCTTACTATTGAGTTTTCTATGGGTTGTTGAGCTTTCTAGGAGATCTTTTGTGGGTGTTATTTCTATGAGATCGTTAGTGAAGTTCGCTCAGAATAGGGATTGATGGGATATGAGGCTAGTGAAGAAGAGGTCACAATAGGAGTTCACTAATTGTAGTACGCGATGTATTCTAAAATCGGCCAATTCATACAATTATGGAATATACCAAATATGAACTAACGGTGAGTTTTAAAGTCCTCTAAGAAATACTTAGAACTTATTTTTAGCTAACCAAACACTTCAATTTTTAAAGCCCCTATATTTAGCACTAGACCCAAAACCCCTCAAACTAAACATCCCTTAAAAGTAATTGAAACAACATGAATAAATAACTAAATGATCATGATAAAATCAAATCAAACTAGAATAAACAAGATATGCTCAGTTGTAACTAGACTAAACAAGATCATCCATACTATCCACTAAAACGTGAGTCTTGTATTGATGTGATCGTGAAGCCGACCCCACGTAGTGGGATAAAGGCTTGATGTTGTTGTTGTTGTTGTCATAAGATACATAATATGTACAATACAAACAAAAAAATGTGAAATATTGTATCTTAATCATTGATAAATGTTGTTGCATCACAGTCAAGCCATTCCTTATGTACAATATAAATAGAAAATGAGAAACAAAAAGGAAACATTGACAAAAGTAGGGATACAATGATTAAAAAATAACCATAGGAACAAAGAACAACTACACCAAATAACTCTGAAAAGAAACCATGCCGAACCTCCTCTCAGAGATATTTGAGTTAACATGCTCATTTCGTGGAGAGTGCTGCAAGGAATCGGACTTGGCATCCTTGTTAAAAGTTTGGTTCAATCTATTGTCCCGCACAATGCGAAACTGTTTGTTGATTCTGGCATCTAGTCAAAATTTTAAATAGAAAAAAGAATATCAGCATATTGATCCAAGACCAAGTCTCATTTCAAAAGATAGTAGACTTAAAAAGTTAAAAAAAAAATATTGAAGTGTCATTTTGCAAGAGAGGGTATGGTGCATAAGAATTTTTTATCAAAGAAAATAATATGAATTTATTTTTCTCATTATTGCAATTAACAAAACATATTCCTTAAATTTAATTGAAAACATGATTAACAACAGAATTTTTGTATTAGTATATCCATAATATTTCAGCATCCAATACACATTTGATAAGACATTTGGAACTTAGATCGTTCAGCATTATAACTTTTCCATAAAAATAGGATTATAATGCACGAAAAACAATAGAGGGATTGCTTAGCCAGCTGAGAATTCCATATAACAAGTAAAGAACTAGAAAGATTCAAATTCAAATATTGCATAGGTTTTTTAAAATATTTTGAAAATCACCAGGCAGGAGCGCAATTGCGTTAAATGATTTGCAAGATGAACAGGAAAGTTAAATTGACGATATACATTATAAGTAAAGAACTAATGGTCAAGATTTTTTCTGTCAAATTCTAAGCAGCTTTTCTAAGGTAGTATAGATAAAGATTTCGGGTTGGTTTTATGAAACCTCTTTCTCCAATCATATCCACGTTGAGTGTTGCATACGGCTCCAAACCTAATTTGCACAAATATTTTGTGTAACTTTATCCACATTACCTCTGCTCTAACATATTTACATCATAATCATAAGACAATAACTTAATATATATGTGCAAACAATGTGCAAACACAAACCAAAAAAGTTTATTTTCGACAACAACATTTTTTAATAGACGCTATTCTACTCTTACTGTTCTTCTATTATACTCAATCTATATTTCCTAGTTTAGTCACAAGCCATTTTAACATACTCATGTTCAAAACATTCAACACGTAAATCAATGATTTCATTATTACCCAACTCTCAAATCCATAAAACATAGCTAAACTAACTGTATTTTTATATAATTCATCTTTAAATCTCCATAATATTCTATTACCACAAGTACTCTAAAAGCACTTTTTCATGTTAACCACTAAGTGTTAGAAGATCCAAGATAATCGAAACCTAGTGAGTAAAATTTTAGAATCTATTAGAATTTGCTGATAATAATAACATCATAAACAGTAATTGCATATCATATAAGTTGCCTTTGATCTGACCTCAACCCTACATAATATAAGCTGGTTGTACATATTTTTTTCTTTTCCTTCATTTCTTTTGCTTTCATAAATAAGTAAAAATAAGCAAGCAAATAAGCCAACACATCATTGTTGATAAACAAAATACACCTCAGAGAATTATTAGATATGAAGATGATCTAAACGATTCAAAAGTCAGTGCAACACCATGACTGAGTTAATAAGATTGATGAGCATAACACCGATATTTAAAATTTTCAATTACAACAACAACAACATCAAGCTTTTATCCCACTACATGAGGTCGGCTACATGAATCTTTTTTTCTCCAATGTGTCTTGTTAAGAGTCAAATTCTTGTTTAAATCTAATAAAGAAAGGTCATTTCTAATAGTTTCTAACAAGTCTTTTTAGGAGTACCTCTACCTTCCTTAACATAAGCCAAATCTAATTTTCAATTATGAAGCATAAATTTTGAATTTAGTAACAAAGCATTCACAAACTAGATATCTGAATAAAAAAAGCATTCAAAAACTAGATATCTGAATAAAAAAAATTACAGAAAGAGAGACGGACATGTTTTTCTCCCCTACGACCGTAATATTAAGAATAAAGTGCCAGTAACTGTCATATGCTTCAAAGTTTATAAGAAATACCTAAAAGAAAGACTAATATTAAAAATAATCATATAAGAAAAACAGATACGCATAGGGAAACTGTCTACCTAATAAGCAAATAAGTTATGTGATTAAACAAAACTGAAACATTCCATCTAATGAACAATGCTATAAGAAATGCATTTCCGTCTTACTGTAGTTATCTATTACAGCTAGGATCATTTTGCATTACCAGGAACATAACTTCCAGCCAAACCTCCTCTGGGAGCATTTAAATGCATTGGTTTATTGGATTTTTCCCAATGGATGCTTTCTGTGTGTTTTCTAGGATCAACAGCAAGTTTGTAACCTGTAAACTGAGGCCAAGATAAATACCTATGTAAGTCATATACACTAAATAAAGACTGTCAAATAATAGGCTAAAATATAGTACTTAAGAAGGTAAATTTAAATTGACACGAAATAAGCATTTACCATAAGAGAATCCGTGACCTACTTACCACATCCAAATACCAAAATGAATAAAAGCAATTTTTTTTCAAAATGAAGTAATTAAGAAAGTTATTATCATTAGACTCTAAAATATATTAGGCCAGCTTCTATCAGTCTTCCTGTTATCCATGCTTTTTAAATGCCTCATGTGGTGTAGAAGGGTTAGGAAGGAAAAGGAATAGACCTAGTGAAATTTTTTTTTCTAAAAAATTGTAAGAAAATAAGCTTAAAGCATCATGCGACACATTCAACGGGTACAAATGCAAATAAGAATTTATAAATGTTGGGAAAAAAATAAACTTGATGCCAAATTGGTCATGGACCTTATTCATGAAATCCGAATGAGCAAACCAACACGAATGAAAGCATATAAACACGATTCCTCATGTGAGATATCCTCCCTCTTCAAAAGTCTTGCACGAGGAGTTGAGAGGAGGCGGTAACTGATAGGAAGAAAGGAAATTGGGTGAGAGAGAGAAATTTTGAAGGAGGAAATTTTTCTATTATTAAGATTGCCAAAAGATCAGAACTCATTGTAAGGAAGAAAAAAAGTGAGCCTCCATTTCTAGCGAAAGGGAAGTTTACATTTTCATCTTGCTTATTTAAATTTAGAAAAGAAATAAATGCATAAATTTTAGTTTTGATTGAAACAGTAGTATATGATTGTTCAAAAGGCAGAAATCAAATTGATAGAAGTCCGGTTCGGCGATGAAGAAAAATTGAGGTAAAAGATGCAAGTTATTTAAATAAAATGTTCAATCATTTTAGAGAATTAGAAAATTTAATTTATAATGTAGAATGCTCAATGTTACCTTTAATGATCAAACGATGCATTTGATGTCGACTTCGACAATGTTTGTTGTGTCCAATGTTGTCTTTAGCGACATTCGATACATCTTATATTATAATTGGTGAAGTTTGTAACATTAAACATTGTCTTAGCGACTTTGATTTCTTAAAGGTAATTTTTATAATAATTTAAAATGGATTGTTATGTAATAAGACTATAGTAGAATCAAGCATTATAACCAAAGTAAAAAAATCTCACATTAAGTATTTAGAAAGAGAGATTTGTGGTAAGTTATTTTAATGAAAATTTAAATTGAATTTAACGATGAATTAATTTCTAATTTATCTGCGTTGATTAACATATTTGTACCCATGATGATTAGATTTCACTCAAGAAAGGTTAATTAAGGATTGAAAAAAAAAATTGAAAAATACCAGTATCAAAAAGCGGCGGAATAAGTGATTATGTTTATTTTATAACAATTACATTCTGTTGTTGTTTAATTTCAATTATTAAACATTACATCATGCATGTGTACTTATTTAAGTTTAAGTGTATATTATGCACCATATTGATGAAAATTAAGCAATTAAAGTTTACAATGTGATATATGTGTGTGTTATAGAAATATGCATATAAGATTGATATGTATATGCAACAGAATATAAAAATAATAAAATGTATCGTAACATATAAATAAAAGAAAAAAAAGGGAAAAGATACATGCATGCAAATATAAGAGTTCACCCCCTTAAGGCACTAGCTAGGGACATAACGTACACGTACAGGTTAAATGAAAATAGTTGTACCTTCATAGGTACAAAATTTGACGGTGATTCGGTAATAAATGAAATGAAAAATGAATAAAGTTTAATTAAAGGATTAGAATTTTGATCTACATTTATATTAAATATTCATATGCATGTTAAATAAAAAGTTTAACAAATAAACATGACAACTTATATTCATATCTAATTGCTATACTATATATTGTAATTATCCACCGAGCTTACTATGAAAAAATCAAATTATTAAATTAAAATATCATATAAATCTTTTGTGAATTAAATGGCTGAAAGAGAAGAGTTCGAGTACAGAATAAATGGATCAAACGAAAATAGGTAATTGGTTTGTTTTATGTTAAAATTAAAAAAAAAAATATTTTAATGGCTCTATAGTTATATTTTGGATATTAATTTATTATGTAATTAATGTTATTGAAAGAACTTTAATCAGTCATCCTACTGTCTATTCCCACTTCGTTAATTTGAGCCTCAGGGCCGAGTCTAACAAAAAAATATCTATAAGTGTTTTTAAATTATCTATCGGGTTTACCACAAGAAAGAAATAGATTTCACTATTGAACTATTACGGGGTTCAAAACCAGTAACAAAATCACCTTATAGAACGGCGGTTAAAGAATTGCATGAGTTAAAAAGTCAATTGCAAGAATTATTAGATAAAAAGATTTATAAGGCTAAGTTCGTCGCCCTGGATATCTAGTGTTGTTTATAAAGAAAAAGTATAGGGGTTTCAAGATGTGTATTGATTACTGAGAATTAAATAAGCTCACAGTTAAAAATAAATACGCATTATCCAGAATTGATGACTTATTTGATCAGTTTGAGGGAGAGACAATTTTCTCAAAAACAGGGGTTACAGACCATACATCATAATGTAGTAGCTCTAGGAGAGTAAATTTGTGATTGCTAGATAAAGAAAAGGTAATTTGTGGTTCTTAGAGGCCATACAAGAAAAACAGGGAGAAGATTGCACTGGAATGTTGAGAGATTGGTTATAACTTGATATGATGACTATTGTGTGAGAGTGCGAATGTCCAAGACGTTGCTGCCAATGAAGATCTGGTGTGATGGACGCATTGAATGCATGAAGAGCTAAAGACTGGGAGGGGTACTGCAACGGATAGAGGTCATTACGGGAGGGGCATTGATTAAAGTAATTGTTGTGTTGGCCTGTGATTAGATATCCCGATGCATCAAAGGAAATAGAGATATTGTTATCATGGGTGAGTTGATAGATAGAAAGTAGATTGTTGAAGATGTGAGGAGCGTGAAGTAACTAAGAGAGTTGAAACTTACAGGTGGGAGTAGGAAGGATTCCTTTGCCAATATGAGAAATTGGAGTGGTGCACCATTCCTGACTGTAACCTGATCAGCTCCAGTATAGCTTGTACGTTGAATGAGGTTGTCGCCATGTGGGGTGAGATGAGATGAAGTGCCAGAATCTAAAAACCATTCATTATGCGGAGAGGGAGACGAAGCAAGCATGGCTTTGTGTGTGGAGTTGGTGGGCAGCGGATTGTAGTTGACGTTCAAGCAATGCTAAGAGTTGGTGCAAATTTGATAGATGACATGAGCTGGAGATGAGTGATTGGTAGAAAGTTCATGTGAGGATTGAGATGAATTGAATCTGGAATAACCTCTCGAGCCTCGGCCACGATTGGTATACAAAGCGTATGCAGGGTTGGGAGATGCTAAGCCTTTGGCACAATCATTTGAGAGATCAATCTCTTCACTTATAAGTAAAGAGGAGAAATCGTCAAGGCTCGGAGGTGCAAGTTTGGTCTTGATTGATGTTTTGAATGATTGGAATTAGAGAGGGAGACTATTGAGTGTATATAAAATTACATCTTATGGATCAATGGCGGAACCAACTGTTGAGATATTGTCTACCAGATTGTTAATATTAGTAAGGTATTGAGTCATGGAGGAAAATTTTAAAGAAAGGTTGTGAAGCTCATTTTTTAGATGAATGATTCTTAAGTAGTTGGAGGCTTGAAATCTTCATTCTAGCGTGAGCCAGATTTCACAGCAAGTGGTGAGAGTTTGAACATATGTAGTTCAGCTAGTGCGAAAGAAAGAGTTCCACCACCTAGCTGAGAGGTGCAGACTGGTCCATTGCAGATGTATATACCTTAAGGTATTCAAGCTCTAATACCATGAAGAAAGCAATGGCATTGTTTCGATACCAATATATGCAAGTAGAATAGTGAAATACACACATAATAAAATAGCTAAAGAAGATAATTGTATTTCCTGAGTAAGGTCTTATATAGAGTATTACAAAAAGGAGCATGTCTATTTGTGCAAAAATATGCTTTTGCTTTAGAAGTGTAAGGTAGATATTAATTTGGTTGTTATAAACCTGTGGTTGGATGTGCCTTTAACTACTCCATGAGTAGCACTAATAATCTATCACTATTAAAAGGAAATCAAAATAGTCTCATAGTGGTACTATTTTGGTTCCCCTTTAAAGAGTTGAAAGATCAAAACAATCATTTAATATAGTTTGGGATTGTTTTAATCTTTTATAAACAGTCAAGAGATCATTTTGATCATTTTCTCAATTCTAATTGAATAAGCAAAAGTGAGAACGATTTCCTCTAAAGGAACGTATGATGTTTACATTTCTTAAGAACCCTTCTCTGACAAGAAAGACCAATTTAATTGTTATGTTCAAAATTTCAAAAGCTGTCAAGGCTTTTAAATATGTTAAGAAACATCCTAAGAATCATACACTCAAACATGGCAATCATAAACAGCGAATGTTGTCCCTTCTTAAAAATCGAAATAATTTAGCTATAAAATTTTCAAAACACAAAGTAGACCTAAATTGGAGAAAAAGGATTCATGTAGCCAACCCCACGTAGTAGGATAAAGGCTTGATGTTGTTGTTGTTATACAAAGTAGACCTAAATGAGTGTATGGATCAATTCATATCAACATAAATAATGGTGATCTGTATCAGTATGACTACTTGGCATACAAATTAAAATTCAAATGACTATTAATAATCCATTAATGATCCAAATATTTTAAAAAGTGTATATTTCACGATTCAATCTGTGCCAAGACTTCTAGACCACTACTTTAAAGCCCTCCCTACACAGCCACTCTTAACATTATAATTTATTTTTTCAAAAAAAAAAGGAAGGAACGCACATAAATATTTTCCCTTGGTAATTTCTAGGCATTGGTTACGACTTAAGAAAGACAACAGGCTCTACCATTCATACAAGAAGACTTTAGCACCATATTTTGTAATCAACAGCAGAAGTGCCCACACAGGGTATGGAAATAGAATCAAATGACTAGTAACGTATACATTCCTAATCAAATCTATCTAAAAGACTACATCACCTAAGCCCTTTTTTTGTTCCTTTTCCATGTTAATTTCAAGGCCATGCTTAGGTTCAGGTTTTTTTAATATTAAAATTTATATTACTATCCCCATAGTTGAAATTTAGCAAGAAATGGATTAGGGTGAAAGTGGGTATGCTTTACAAATTAATTGCTATAAACATGGATAATATAGAAATCACAAAACTTGAAACGAAATATAAAATGACTAGCATATAGAAAGACCGAAGGATCATGAATATAGCATACCTCTTTTTTCTTGTCTCTTTTCCTTTTTACTTCATGAAATGGATCTAACAGATTAAAGAAAGAATGTATTAGCGAACTTCCATAAATGAATGTGGTGCATCAAAGCTATGCTTACACTACAAAGGTAAGACAAGCATGCAGACAAAGATGCAAAAACCAAAAAATTCATGTAGGGTAGGAACTTTTAACCGAGATAATAAACTATTGCACACAAGTTGATTAGCGTTAGCATAATCAACTACACTCAATCAAGGATAGAAAACAATGGGCGCCTCTGCAAGTATGCCATGATACTATCCTGGCAGTGATGATCAAATATCTAATCTCTTCCAAATAAATTTAGTATACTGCACACGTTCAATGCGCATGGATAAACCTACACAAGGAATCTAATATGCAGCAAATTGTTACAATGACCAAAGCCACCAATTTAAGTGTGAAAAATGGAGTACCAGTGGCATCTAGGATTAATGCTAATGGTAATAAGAATGCAATATCCAATAGAAAATATTATAGGGAATCACGGAATCACCAAACCATGATAAAAGTTGGCCAAAGCAAAACAGGTAACAAGAAATGCTAACAACATGGTTATACAAACAATACTTCAAATAGTAGAACATTTTAGACATGCAGTAAGGGAGTATTGCCCGTAACATTGAGGAAGTCTCAACAATAGTTTCTTTGTGGCACATAAAGATAATGTAACATAAATAAACACTTCATTATATTTGTTTCTAAAAACGATACCCCTTCTCTAAATCAAATGATCGTTAATCTGCTGAAAGTCAAATGACTGGGGTAAGTAATGAGAACAAGTTGATGTTTTCTTTTTAACATTGCTTGTGCATCCACATCTACACTATTAATTTTATGCTAAAAATGGGTATGGTTTTCTATTGGTTCACAGATCCTCACAAGTTCGTAGTTCAAAAAAGATTTTGTGTACCTAGTAACAGATCTGTGATACCTATTCTAGATATTTTGGCATGTTCTGAAGCCCATAGTTTTGATGGCCAGTAGAGCCACCTAACTTTTTTTCTCATGGATTATTGAAGTAATGCATATATAATTTCAATTTTAGAGTTTGAACAACTACAAGAACTTGCACCACGATTTTGCATTATAAATATTAATAAACTCATTATTTTAGCATGATAAGACAACAAATGATAGAGTAGATCTTCATTGGCAGATATGAGGCTTCCTTACCACCTATAATATGTAAATTTAGCAACAACAAATAATTAGTTTCAAAAAAATTCATACGTGATTCTCAAGTTTTTATATGCATGCAATAAGACTAATCTCATAATCTCATCAAATCACACAAAGGAAAACATGTGATGAATACTTGCAAATGTTGTGTGTTTGCATCTACTAATAACACATAGCATGGTTTTTTTTTTTTCATTTTTTTTTACATAGCATGGGGTTTGACTCAATCTTACCAGTAGCAATAGGTCTACCAGCTGTTAAAATTTGATGCTTATAACAAATGAAGTCATCGAATCCCAAGTTGAAATGTGACAATCAAGCCGCAATCAGTATGGCCAAAGATCCAGTACATCACAACATAACAAAAAATGTTACCATTGATAGACACTTATCTAAGAAAATAAAGAACTCGGAAATTAAAAGTAGTATATACCCCAACTCATGAACAACTTGCCGATGGTCTAACAAAAGCGCTACCGGGCTATCTACTTCATAAGTTTGTTTGCAAGTTAGGATTGCACAACCTGTACAACCCAACTTGAGGGGGAGTGTTAAATCACGCAGCTAAGGGAATGCCACATTAGCAATCCGTGGGTAGCAATCCGAGGTTGCAGTTGGAGATTCGTGGGCAGCAATCTGAGGTCTATAGTTGGAGATCCGTGGGCAGCAATCCGAGCACTACAGTTGGAGATCCGTGGGAAGTAATCCGAGGGCTTTAATTGGAGATCCGTGGAATATGATTATTATAATTAATTAGATTAAATGTCTTTCCTTTTTCTGTTTATTCTCCTAGAATGTATATATATGTAATGATTCCAAAGAATAGAATAGAATTTGATTCCCTCTAAACAATTTTTTCAGTTATACAACTTAAAAAACTTACATCGTTTTCGAGAAAAAGAAGTGTTCTCATTTTAAAAAAGAAAAAGGAATAGGATTAATCAAAACACCATGATAAGATGCACCATGCATGGGTTAAAATAATTTAAAGCATGCCACAAAGACAACAAAAGGCCTTCATCAGAAAGAAATCAATAATTAGTCTTTTGAATAAGTTCAATTTAAAGCTCATAAAAAACAGTTATATAAAAATATTGTAACAAAACAAAGTGAGTTTACAAGTACGAAGTCTATAAATTCTTAGCAAGCAATAGAAATGGCCACCAATTTCTTAAATGGAAATTAAAAAGGAGTAATGTATCACGTAAAACAGCTTTTGGGCAATTTAGTTGTATTGATACTACCTAGGAGGAGAAATAAAGACCATTATAGATGGCAATAAATTTTACTAGACAAAAATATCAAATAATTCAACAGTTATTAAAGAAGCAACATACAATTCATTTTACTATTGACACAATTTTTAAGTTTTGTTATGATCCCTTTGCATTCATAAAAATACCACTATGATTACAAGTATTAAGATGAGGTCTTAGCCAAATGTATCTTTTCCACAAGGGATTAAACAATTTCAAATATATGTATATATATAGATATAATTTAAAATGTATCAAAAATTGGAAATAAAAAGTTGTGTAAGGGATAGAAAAGAAAATATAGAAAAATCCCAAAATAGTCCCCAGACTATTCAAGTGTAGTCAATTGAGTCTCAGATATCATGTTGCTCTAATTTAGTCCATCAAGTATACAAAATTGATCCAAAATGATCCCTCGTGTTGTAATTGTGATAAAAACTTGATCCCAAATTAGTCCCAAAGAGACAATTTTGTATCGATTTTGTGTAGTCAATAGACTAAATTACAGCAACGTGATACTCTGAGACTAAATTAGCCACACACGAAAAGTAAATGGACTATTTGGAAATTTACCCCAAGGAAATAAAAAAGTGTAAATGGATAATGTGTGCTTATAAGAATATACATCCATGCACCAAAGATTCAAACGATGCAACACATATTTAAAATGTATTATTACTAGATCTTAGCCAATAGACCCTTTTTGTAGGAGTTTAAGCACCTCAAACAACAACAATATCAAGCCTTTTTTCTCACTACTTGGGGTCGGCTACATGAATCTTTTTTCTCCATTGTATTAAGAGTCCAATTCACATTTATATCTAATAAAAAAGATAATTTCTAATACTTTCTAACGAAGTCTTTTTAGGTCTACATCTATCTTTCTTAACATAAGTCAAATCTAATACATCTTCTCTCCTAACCGGGTCATCAGAAGAGCGCCGTTTTATGTGACCAAATCATCTAAGGCGACTCTCGCTAATCTCATCTCATCTCTGCAACACCTAATTTAATGATACGCTTCTCTTCCAATGGCCAACATTCTACGCTATAAAGTATTGCAGGTCTCACCACTATCTTATGAAATTTAATCTTAAGTTTGAGAGTACTTTTCTATCACACTGCAAGTCTGATGCATTCATCTATTTCAACAACCCAGCTAGAATTCTACTAAAAATATAATCGTCTATTTCACCATTACTTTGAACAAAAAATCCAAGATATCTAAAGCGTGCACTCAATTTTTATAAACTAATCAACCAATGTCATAATCCCAACATTAGATCTATTACTACTATAATTACACTATGTATTTGGTTTTAGATCTACTCTAACGAAAATCTTTAGACTCTAGGTTGACCTCCATGATTCAAGTATTACTTCAACTCCCTCTCAAGTCATATCAACAAGAAGAATATCATCAGCAAAAAGCATGTAGCAGAGTACATCCTCTAGCAAAAGTCGAGTAAGAACATTCATGACTAAAGAAAAAAGATATGGGCTTAAAGCATATCCTTAAGTAATCCAATTGAAATTGGAAAATACTTAGTCAAACCACCTTGTGTTTGAATACAAGTAACATCTCTTGTATATACATCTTTAATGGCTTTAATATAAGCATTATTATACTTTCTTTTCTAAAACTTTCCAGACAGTTCTCTTGAAATGTTATCATATGTTTTCTCTAAATCAATAAATATCATATGTAGATCCTCCTTACTTTTTTATACTTCTTCATTAAACCTCTCAACAAATGTATAGCTTCTATAGTAGACTTACCAATCATGAATCCAAACTGATTTTGATAATCATTAATATCATTTCATAACATATGCTCATTTGCTCTCTCTCGGAATTTTAATGTTTGACACATTAACTTAATTCCTCTATAATTCGCACACTTTTGTGTGTCATATTTTTTCTTAAAAATATGAACCAACATACTCCTTCACTCATCTGGCATCGTTTTAATCTTCCAAATAATATTTAAAAGATTAGTAAGACAAAAAAATTTATGGATCTCTTAAGCATTTCCACACTTCTAATAGAATATCATCAGGTCCTACTGTCTATTCACATTTTATTTTTTTAAGCCTCTCCAACTTTGATTTTACTAATACAACGATAAAAATAAAAAACTCTATTATCATTTATAGTGCTAAGGTCACTAAAGTCAATCTTATTCTCAAAATATTCTTTAAAACCCTTATCGAAATATCTCATCCACCTATTTTGAATATCCTTTTCTAAAAATAGCACTTTTTTTCTTCATCCTCAATGCACTTCTCTTGGACTAGATCTTTTCCTCTCATATTTTATAGCTGGCTAACTTATACATACATTTTTTGCCAATCTTACTATCTAATCTATTATATAGGTCTATAAAAGCTAATTCTTTACATCACATATTACTTTCTATGAGTCCTTATGGGTCTCTCTATATCTTTACCAATTTTTTGAGTTTTGATATCAAAATAATTTTTTATAATTAAGCTTCTTATTTTTATCTTTTCTTGCATATTTTAATTCTACCACCAACTTTTTTACTATTATAAGCTTTTTCTATGATTCTCCAAGTACACACTATGCAATATTCTTAATATAATTGGCTAGTTTTTCCCACATAATATTAGCTTCCCCATAAACACAAATCTTACTCTCAAAAATACTTCTATAAGCGTAAACGGAAAACAATTTTTTTGGAATACAAAGATTTAAAATAGAAAGGGTAGATAAAAGAAATGTGTAAACGAATAACATGAATATGCATGTTTATATAAATACTTATTAATGTGCCAAAAATGCAAAATGGATTGTGCTGACCACCATCATCAAAGCCAAATAACAACATCCAAAAATCCCTTCAATCTCTCTTCAAAATGTATTATTTTGCCTTCATTCTCCCAAATTATGGAATGTGTCCTTTGAATTCATATTCAATTCCAACCACTTAAATAGTATGCCTATTAAACCATTCTCTATTTTATTTCCTTAGCTGGCATACAACAAGCCCCATCCTTTCGTTCTTCACATAAAAATCATTTTTGTTAGCATACTCAAGTTTTCTTCCTTTTATTCTAATTTTCAACCGTAAAAATCAAACTAACTATTTCACTTATTGTGCTCCCAATTTATGAAATTTACTCTTAGTAGGAACATTTAGTTCAAACAAATAAAATAACATACCACATAAAATTTCTTTTTTATTCTTGACTGTGTTTCATGAACTTATATGCAACAAGCCTCTTCTTTTAGTCCTTCCATATAGGGGTTGTTTGATTGGCAGCAAAGTGAATGTAAAGTAAATACGTGGGTTTTAACTCTTTCGTTGTTTGGTTTGACACAAAGCAAAGTGAAATAAAATCCCATTGTATTTTGAACCACCCGTTGTAATTCATTTTACAAGTAAAGTAAATCTGCCCAAATCGAGCGAAAAAGACATTCAAGAGCACGGGCGAGAGAAAGATGTATGTTTCACGCCAATAAAACAGTAAGAGATCATTTCAGCAGCTCCTTGTTCGACTTCGCCCCTTCGATGATGTTCCCTTCCTGTCGACTTCGCTCAAGTTTCTTTGCATGAGGTAGAGTTTTGCTCGAGTCACATCTTCAGCGGCTCCTTGCTGTTTGACTTCGCCCCTTCGACAACATTCCTTCCTATTGCGTGAGATAGAGTTTTGCTTGAGTCGCTTCTTCAGCAACTCCTTACAATTTGACTTCGACCCTTCGACGATGTTGTTCCCTTTTGACTAGGAGCTCGCACGCCAAGAAGATAACTATCTTTCTCCATTCACGCACTTCTTTGGCCAAATCTCATCAATCCGAAAAATTTCATAATTTTTTTGACAGGGATAACAGTGATTTTACTTTACCCTAGATATACCCAACCAAATAAAAAAATAGTTCTCCTGCATTCACTTTACAGACAACCAAACAACCTCAAGTATTTACTTTACACGGTATTTCGTTTTCAGCAAACCAAACAGCCCCATAATATTACATGTGTCAGTATACCCAAGGCATCTTCTTTTTTTACAAGTTGACAACCATATCCTTGAGTTTCCTCCCTCTTTCTCTCCCACCTCCCTCCCTCCTTAACCCCTCTTTCCCTCTCCCCCAAAACAAAACAGAACAAAACTTTAGGATATCCAGACCAAATTTTTTAACAATATATGCACTTATCTCAAAGTAAATCCAGTGACTTTAAACCTCATCCTAACCAAAATTTGATCAGAGTATTGTAAGGTAATATTTTCACCTACCTCCCTCCTTCCCTCCATGCATGTGCACAAGCTTTCAGTTCCCTTTTCTCATCACTTAACTCAATAGGCAACAACTTCAAGCAATTCCTATAACTAAAATAGGATACCTAGAGAAATATATTATTCTTTTAAATTACAAAATACGCTTCTTTCAGTCCTTACTATCACCGTGGTTATCACAAGCCCCCTCCCTCCATCCCTCCTGTGCAAGTGCATAAATGTATAGTATTATATTGACCCAACCCAAGTATTAAGCAGTAAAAAAGGTATGAATAACCAAGTTAAGCATGCTAAAAATGATAATTCAAGATGATAATGTGGATAGATAAAAAAAAAATAGATTGAAGAATGATCATATTAATGAGGCAGTGAAGGTAGCACTTATTATTTATAAGATAGTGAAGAATAATAAAATGGTTTGGACATATACAATAAAGTATATTAAATGGACATATACAATAAAGTATATTAAAGGCACATATAAGAAGTGTGGATAAAATTATTGTTGAAGGATGTAGACTAAAGATAATGTCAATATAAGCTGTGCAAAAAATCATTCACATAATAGATTATAAACCGTATACAACACTTGGAAGGAACAAATGAAAAATAAGGATTTATAAAGCCAACCCAAAATAGTTAATATCATGCAAATGAGGATGATGATAGTCATTGTATGCCTCCAAAAGTAAATTTCCTAGCTTTTACATTAGGCCTGTATTCAATAGGAGAGCTATAACTTGTTTTTGAAGGAGACACAAGCAAATAGGCTCAGAAATATCCAAAATTTATAAAATAACTTGATTATACAAAACAATTAGTCAATTAGATCAAAGAGTGTAAATTCAACCTATTCTCATTATCTTTGCCAATTATCCTTGCTCAAAATATTCAAGCTTTATTTATCTAATTCTTTAGGCTCTGTACAGAACAAAGACATAAGAGCTTCTTTTAGCCCATCTCCATATTGAAACTCTTCAAAGCAAAATTTACTATTTATATAAAATACATACTATTCACAAAAAAAAATTGTGTCCTAATGCGCTCTGCCCTATTTTTCCCATAATTTGTGTCCTTGTATCCATAATTTTGCCTCTAGTTGATTATATATATATATATATGGTATTGGCCAATCTTAAATAATTAAGAACCAATCCAATAGGATATTGGACATTCTTTTTTTGTAAGCCCTCCCTTCAATATGTTATAACTACTATTCAAATTTTCTCTTCCCATATAGCCTAGAAAGATGTAAACTCTAAAGATAAGGCAAGAAAAATCAAGTAATAATATCTAACTAAACCTTTGCTGTCAATAATTAAAGCTAAATGATAGACAAATAATGGACACAAAATAAACCATTAAGTGTGGCGTGAATGCTAAAGAAACAAAACTTGTGGGTGGACATTGGCCACAGGGATCCAAGTCGGGCCCAAAATACTAGTTAGCGAACATATGAATCATTAAGAAATCAATTAGAAATAAATATTTGGCACTAGGCACTTGCTAACTGTTTGCGGAAACTCACATTAAGACAACCTCCACCAAGTTGTTTGGCCAAGACAATTTATATTACATTGCAAACTTAAAAATAATTCTACAAAACCATAGAAAATTTTATGTCAGGAGCTCCTAGAGAAAATCATTCAAGAGCTTTTTAATCAAATGAAATGTGCACACAATCATGATTAATCATTAAATTTTAATAATTACTCATGACAATTGATTAAGGAACTCTTGACCAAATTTTTATCAAGATCTCCAAAAACATTTTTTCCTAAACTGCTATTAGATCAGCTATCTTATTATGTATCTAAGTTTTGAACCAAAATGAAGTCATTGATGGCCAACTTAAGCGACTAAAATGCTAAGATGGATGCCAGGAAAAAACTAGGAGGATGGATGAGGAAACTAACATATTATGGCATCTATTCAAAATATGAAACTAGAAAATAGAATTAAGTGGTTTGAGCAGGTATAAAAGTGGGTAGAATATGCATCAATAAGATGCGTGATAAAATCATTGTGGAATGATTAATAAGAAAATTGGTAAACCAAAGATTAAAATGATAGAACCAATGCAAAATGTTATAGCCAAAATTGATTTAGCACCTCAATTAGCACTAAATGAGAATGAACTGAGACTAAGAATTTATAGAAACTGCCAAAAAATAGTAGGGTGGCTACGGATAATGACAATGACATTTTCTATATGATTTGATAGGCACCATATTTCAAATTCTAACCTCCATCGATTCTATTTCACTCTACCAGAATATTTGAAGTTCATCTGAATTCCTGAGAAATTATTAATTATTATATTGTATTAGTCCACTTATGTTACTTTCTTCAGTAGGAAAATCAGTTCCTAACATAAATTATGAATGCAAAAACAATTGATTATGCCTTTGAAAGTAACAACAAATATGAGAATTCTTCAAACAGTACTGCAGCCTTCTCATAACCACCCCAAGGACATCTCAGCACAACAAATAATAAAACCTTAAAAATCTTAGCTTTAAGTAAATTTTAGAAAGCAGATCATGCTATCAAATCCAATTTAGAATGTGCAATAATAGGAGTTCAGATTCAAGGGCCAACTAAAAATTTTAGCATATTCAAAAACTACAGTAGAATTTACACTGATAACTTATACCACAAAGCTAAAATTCGAGAAAGTCACAGCACTGAAACAGTAACCAAGCTGCCCATTCAAAAAAAGTCTTTCACAAATTAAACTCCGAGCAAAACTCAACCAAAGATAGAAACCTCAGTTTTGAACTACCAATACTTGTTAATAAGCACCTCACTTCCATTCTCAGCTATCGCCGTTAAGACTCATCAAATACAATAGAAATCCTCGTCAAAATTGCATTATTAGATCATTCTTTCATGACTGAAGTCCGAGTTGGGAGCATTTGAGAAAACAAACAACAGAAGTTGAAAAGAATTTGGATGCGGAGCGAACCTTGGTTGAGGAGTTTTTGCGCCGTCTCGTTGGGGTCCATATTTGTCTCTTTGAGCACCGCATAGATATCAGCGTCGGAGTGGTTGCCCACGATCTCTTTAATTGACTGGATCGTCTTCCGAATGCGAACAGGAATGACCTGACCACCTCCGCCTTCAAGCCTTGTACCAGACACCATCTCCTTCAAACCGCGACTGGACAGCGGCGAGATTGAAACCCTAGCGCAGACGGAAGGGGAGCATCAAAGGCAGCGTGGAGGCGAAAAGAGCGGATCGAGCAGCCAAGATAGAGCGTGTGAGGATGAATGGGCAATGAAAGTGAGCGGCGCGAGAAAGAAAGCAGAGGTTTTGGGGAAAATGTAGATTTTGAGAGAGATTTTGCGCACGATGTTTATTTGTTTTACATTGTGTTCTATGGATATGCAGCTAGCTATTGGTCTTCCCCTTCATATGAAATTTAATAGGGGATTTACACGTATATGATAATTTTTTTATATATTTATATATTTAGTTATAAAGTAATTTAATATTTTATTATATTATTTATTTTAAATAAATTAAATATAATAATTTTTTTATATAATTTAAATATTTAAGTGTTACATAAATAAATATAAAGATGTAGGTATTACATACATAAATATATAACAATTTTCAATATTGCTTCAAATTTTATAAAACAGTTGATTCTTATTTAAACGTGTAATCAAACCTTCTTCATACATCTTCTAAGATAGTTTAATTGATTAATAAAGGTTCAAAGATTTTTTTGTTTTTCCCCAATAAGGTTCTTGTAATACATTCTTAAAAAATTTTATAAAACAATTTGATTGCAAATCAAATAAGGTTGTCAAATGTTTTTGATAAGTCCCCAAAAATCAGCTTCTTCGAGCACAAATCTCAAGGAATAACTCAATTGAAAACTTCCAAAAATTAACCATGGGACCATCTAAAGTTTGATTTCATCAAACTTATAGTCAAACTGAATGTCTCGACGAGACAAACCTAATGACACCAAATTCGGTCTAATATGAGCGAAATCGATGATTTTTTATTGGTTGATACAATGATATCCAAATATGACATACTTATAGTTCAATCGAGCGGCTCGATGAGACAAAACAATGAGCCCAATATCACTTAATTCTAGCATCATTAAGGTACTTCAATGCTTGATGAATGCTCCATAATTCATGGAATCAATATGGGTCGTTCGATGTATATTTGCTACATTGTGACAACGCCTTCTCATAAAGAAGGGCATCCTTTGTAGCCAATGACAAACAATAATTAAATCATTTCAGTTGGGTCATGCCCAATGACTTTTATCCTTTTCAAGATTTTTTACGTAAAAATTTTGACGCCTTATATGACTTTTGCACACCTCTCTCTTTTATCTCAATGTGTGCATAAATCTTCATTCAAAGCTAAGATTTTAAGCTCATTATCTCTCTATCTCCATGAATATTCTAGCACGCAATAGTTTTATAGTAATATGCTAAGTACTAATAACAACTATACAATCATCTATGAGCAGGATCAAATAAGGTTCTTGAAAGATAAAATGCTTTGCAGCAACATATTGAGTACTAATCATAATAGTACAATCATTTATAAGAAAGATTTTTATAAAACAATTTGTAAATTCATCAATATCATCAATTAATTTAATAAAAGAATAAATATGCATGAAAACTAAAAATTTTAGAGAATTAAAACTAAATTGTAAATTACTAATTATGAAGAATTGTATGTAATCATGAATAACCTTTAAAATAATTTTCTTTGGAACTAAGTATATCAAGTGTTATATTGCATACGTACATAACTGCCACATCAAACCAATTAAAAGCATACTTTCTCTTGAGCTTGCGATAAATAGAGATTGATGATGCTAGAGCAATAGATCTTTAGATAGAGCAAATTTGCTCCCTTATTTAGTGACTTAAAGAATCAATATATTGAAAAAAAAATAAAATTAGACAAAATTTTATTTAAATGTAGGTAACATACTTTTAATAAGTTAAAAGAATTCTCACAATATCTCTTATAACCATATAATTAGAGTATTTAACTCTTAAAACTACTTTGTGTTCCCAATGTCAACTCCTATCTCCAGCTCCTTTGAGTTGTCTACCATACTTAACATCCAAGCACCAATGAAGCATAATTACTCCTTATTTATCAAGAAAAGAGGATTAATAGTGCATGGATCCATGGGCTTGTTCCTATCCTTTAATTGATATGTGAAATCATAGTCAAATACGTATAGTTTCAAAAGATGGACTATCTAATGCTTTGTTCTACATACAATGGAAATATATTGAACCCTTGGGTCCTCCTTTCGGTGTATATACACTCAATGACATAAGATTTATCTCTTGACTCCTGTCTCTCCTTACAAACACAAATAGTGGCAATGGATTGAACCTCTGACTCCACCATCTTCTTCTCCTCTTCTAACTTATTAGAGGTTGGGTCAGTGGTAGCACCTTCTTACTTTCTTTCTCATTCTCCTTCCTCCTCTCCTGAGATAACCTATATAAGAACTTAATAAAATTGGTTAGAGCATCTACTTTTGCTCTATTCCTATTTAAATACTCTTTAACATCATATAATTAATTTTGGCTTTATTTGACCACTTCTTAACTCCAAAATATTGGTAGAAATTTTATTTATCCCTTTTTAGGATATAATTTATTGGCTTGTATCAAGCTGTAATTTCATTGCCTCCTCTATTGTCTAAAAATAGTGGTGCTCAATTTCTTCTTATAATCATAATTATGATATGTTGAGTGAGAGTATATGTAATAAACTTATAGAATTATGCCCCATCGGCTCTATATGTGAGCTTAGGATGGGTAACACCTTGAAGAATATAAGAAATGAAAAATAATAACACCTTATATGCATCTCTTCATCAACTCTTTAAATTTCTACACCATAAACAAATTAATACATGTCTTTAGTCATGGACATTCCTCATGAGCACCTTATTCCTCTTCTAGTCAAGCATCCTTGGTATTCTATTGCCAAAAAACTCAGCATATCTCTTCCCCAAATTTGGAATGCCTTTTATTAATCTAATATTATAGTAAAATTGCATATCCAATTATAATATACTAAGCTAGCTCACTCTTCATTACTATATATGCCTTATAGTGTAGCATGGTCCTCTTCAGCCCTTATAGTGTCCTCTATCATGGCATCCTACCTCAAGGGTATCTAAAAATGCATCCTCCTCTTTGACCATGAAAACTATTTTAGCAAAAATAATATTATTCTTATCATGCTTAAGGAGAACACCTTCTACAAAGCAATATAGTCCAAGATGTAGAGTGTAACGCATATAAGATGGGCATTAATTTTTGTGATTTTTAAAACTTTTAGAGAAGTTTATGAAATATTAATAAGAGGCAATTTGATAATAATTTACATAATGAACTAATAAATAACTTTTAATTGAAAAAAAAAGTTATTTGAAGATGATTCAAAAAAATAAAGAGTAAGATTTATTTATTTTAATAAAATACAATTTTAAAGCTAAAACAACTCTTTCTTTTAAAAAATTATAATATTGTGTTTAATCTTAAATTATAATTTTAACAATAATTAAAATCTATTCATAACATTCATTGTATTGTTGGGAGCCATAAACTATAAATAGATATCATTAACATGATTCTATAGGTAGCATAAAAGTAATAAAGTATGAAAAAGAATGGAAGTACCTATGTCTACTCTCCAAATCATCTTCTTGAGAATTTTACTTTCTCATTGCTTCATGGGTATTGGAGAAACCCTTACATCTCTTTTTTTCTTTGAAAAGCATGTCTACTTACCCTAGCCCACTTGCCAGATTCCAAGTACACCGAAAAACTCCACAATATCAAATGATCTTTAAAAGAAAAACATGCAAAAAGTTATTTAGATATAGCTTTAGACTCTCAAATCAGAGCATTTAAGGATATATTTTGAGAAAACAACCAATGGTGCAAACTCTCTCATGAACCTCTCTTGAACAAAGTGAAAAATCTCAAAGGAAAAGAGATATTATAAAAGAAAACTTCTTAATCTTTTTAGTAGCCTTTCCGGAAGATATAAAAAATACTTTTTTAGGGATTTTAGAAAAGGATCGATATTTGTAGGGTGGCTTAATTTAAAACCCTAAAAGGATATTTTATTAAAAATTTTGACTGGATTGTATAATCTAATTTATTGATCATACGGTAGGATTAGTATAATTGGTTTATTTAAAAAAAATCATTTTTGTTTATTTGGACTATAAGATTGATATCGTATGGTACAAAATTTTTATGAATTTGATTTTTAATATGCTCCTTAATTCATGGTTTTTAATTAGGTAATTATTTAGCTAATGCTATATTATGATTTATACCATACATTACGATTAGTTCAAATTTGAATTTACCTATTTAAGTAAAGAAGCATATGATGGTTATGTAATTTTGAATATAATTGATTATACTATCCAATTGTCATCATATAGTATTATTAGTGCTAAAATTATAATTTTGAATTTTTTTGGTAAACAAGAAGACCTGATCTTTTTGAATCACTAAAAATATCATACACGTACATTATACATTACAATCTAAACCGTACAATACAATTTGTAATAGATCAAGTATTGTAGTTAATCATATTAAGCTATTTCTTAGGCATTTTTTTATCTAAAATTTAGTTCTTATATATGTGTGCTTGATTGTTTCACATAATTCATATACCTGGTATGTGGAAGAAGACTCAATAAATATTAAAATACAAGTCATTGATATCTCAGCTTTCTTCTTTCTTCGTCATGGCTACAAATTCTTCACTAATATCTCGTACTTGACCTTAAGTTAAGTGCACTTTCATCAGCTTATGATTGCCACATGTTGTATATCCAATATTGCATCGGCATCCATCTACTTTATACCTGAAATGTTAGCATAAATAGAATTGATCTTCACACTCAAACTCATTAGTCAAAAATCAATGTAACTAATAATATTTATAATCATCAGAACCTCAATAAGCTTATGGGCTCATGGGGTTTAAAAATTTTCCTCTTTTTATGATGATAAATATTTTTTGTTGGGTCATATATCAAATAGAAGTTATTATATGAAACAAATTATAAATTTTATAAAAATAGTTCTCCTCCTCAATTTATGCCTCTATTAATATCAAGTCAATTAAAATGTAGAGATAACAATTTTAAAGAAATTTACGAGACAAGCATAGTTTTTTAAATGAAAGAAATCAATTTCAAGACACGTGTAAGCACAAATAACAAATATAAGTAAAAAACAACAATTACTTACTACACATACCGAAACACAAATAAAAGAACACAACACAAATGAAAATAAACAATACAATCAAACACTTACTCCCTCTTTTGACATCTTAAAAATGGCTAGTGAGTAAC